CAGGATTAAAAAAAGTTATAAAATTTCTGTTGTCTTCGGCTATTTCTCCTGCTGAGCTCTGGACAAAGGGATCTATAGTCACTGAGTCATGAAGAATAAAAGCAAACCTCTGACTTTTGCAAATGACAGTAAAACCCTGATTCTGGCAACATGGATCGACTGTCAGAAAACATGACTGCACAAGTTTTATCATTTCATACTTCTGGGGTCATGACTGTAAGCAACAAATATATTGACTGAGAAAACGCAGACAGACATGAAATACTGAACAACTTTTTTTGCTTGTAGTTAGAAAATAAAGTTTAATCTATTCGAAGTAACAGAGTCATACATAGCAAATACAGGTCCAGAACAGACGCTGAAATACTGCTCCGCTGAAAAGTCTTCACAGCTGTTAGACAGCGCAAACGTGACACGGACAGACTGGAGAGACCAAAAAGACAAATCACATCAAGTGATTAACAAGCATTTCATACGTTTATGTATACAAAGTAGTATAAAACAAGTACAATAATGGACAGACAACACGTCCAAAAAAAAAAAACACGGGTGTAAACATTTTGTGTATATGTGCTTTTCATGACGCCAGCGTCACCACAACTCGGATCAACCAGTAACTGCCATCGTCGAGGCAGGGTACAGAAATCAACATTACAAAAACAAAAGAACTCTACTTTGTCTGGTGTACTTGTACAGAGTATTGGATCCTAAAAACTCTAAACCTGTATATTTCGGCTAGCGTACAAAGGAAAACTGCAGGACACTTAGCCTTCCTGGGCCTCTACGCTGAAATAGTGCCACACAGTCTATGCAGAGCTTTTGTGACAGAGCACCATAGTGATATTAGTGTGTTTCCTCAGCATTGTTTCCAGTCATACTGTGATGTTTCCACTGGTCCCCTTAATATAGAGATGGTTGAAGTAACAACTAGGCACAGCGTGTGTCAACAACAACATTTAATGCGGAGATGAAACTGGGTATTTCCAGTCTTCCAATGGACAGAGCCAGCTCATGTAGCAGTTCTGAGTAAGACCTACAACCTCGGGTCTTTGGGCAGAGTCTTCAGAAGTCTCCAGTTTGGAGCTCAAGTGCTTCTTAGGAAATTGCCAGTTATGTTTTCATATTGACGGCTGATACGGTGGTGCTAGGGATTCCACATCCCTGGGTTTGTGGTTTCACTTGGTGTCAGTGGACAGCTGCTCCAGCAGGGGGTTGGCCTCGCTCTCGGGTGTTTTGACGCTGTCGGTCCTCACAATGCAGGTGGGCCGGTGGAGATTGAGCATCACCATTAGCTGCTGCCTCTCCATACGGAGCTCCTCGATCTGGGCCTTCAGCTCAGAGTTCACCATCTCTAGGCGCTCTGACTCCTGACAAGAGATGTTGAATCATTAGGTTCTTCTGGACTAACAAACAACTCGGACTGCTTCAGCTTGCTCATTTTATACTGTCAGTTTTCATCGGTTCTAAAAACAAATAATGAGACCCATGGCTTTAAACTGTTCATGTGCTGTGGTTCATGTTTACTTTAAACCAGACTTGAATTGTCTTATTAGCTCAGAGTTGGGCTGAATGAGTTAAACGTGAATCAGCAGCTCGGGTTAACTAAAGTCAGGCTACTCTGGGCTACCACCCTTAGCTGCCCTACTTCTGCTCATCAGTATGCAGTGCTGTGTCATGAACTCACCCTTTGAAGGAAGTCGGTCCGTTCCTTCTTTTTGTTTCGGCATCGTGCTGCTGCTACCTTGTTTTTCTCTCGTCTCCGTTTCCTCCGTTCCTCATCTTCATCCATCTAGAAATATGTCAGCATATATTAAAAGGCATGATATGACTGTATATGATGGAAAAACGTGATTACTTCCTAAATTACCTAAATCTAAATCTACAATCAGAATGATCACCATGGTGGAAAGAACTGTAGCCTCTATGGTAATTCTTCTTTCATTAGAGGGAGCAGACTTGTACTCAAATAATTAACATTAACAGCTTTATGTACACGTGTATGTACTGTATGCTTAGAATTTAATCAAGTTATCTACCATGAAATAAACTGTACAATAAAATTAATCCTAAAATTTACCCAAAAAAAACAAAGTTCAGACCACTCAGTCTATTCTTGCCTTGATAGCAGACTCTGAACAACAGTGACGCTCCTTTTTATTTCTACCCTCTGAGCTGATGTAAATCTTTCACACCCTAGTTCTGCGTTCTTTCCTCTCTTCTCTTCCTCCCCACCTCTGTCTTGATGGCCAGCGGCCTCTTCCCCAGCCTCCCCAGGAAATGCAGGGGGGATAGCATGGTGCCCAGCTGGCGGAAGTCGGCCAGTTTCAGTTGATCTGTGAGCGTGGTGGCCGAGATGCCTGCCAGCGGACCCAGGCTAGGCAGGGAGCCCGCCGCCAGCGAAGGGTCAGGTATCTGTCCCGGCATCATGTCCAACCCGGCCACCACCGCCGCTGTTGGGGGGCACAATTAGAACGAGAGAATCAAGTCTAATGAGAGCCTGCCAACTTTGAAGCCATTTTCAGCTTCTTTTTTTTTAGATACAGTAGAAAGCAAAGTGTATACAGTGATTTTAAATATTCTAGTTTTTATTTCCTAATAGTCTAAAATGACACCCAATTAAATCACATTTCATTCATTTGGTATCTGTACTATTTTTCATCATTCCACTCTCTGGTAATAACATGAGCCATACATTTATATCCTTCTTCCATGCTGCAGGCATCCAGCAGTGTTTTCTCTTTACTATGACCTTAATATTGGCATTACTCCATGAAAAGTTTCATTTACTGTTGTCTCTGCTTGTAACCAAACATCCTTCTAGATGTGGGTTTCCATTTCCAGAATGCATTAACATGTTGACAGCTGTGTTATCTTCTTAGTCAGCAGTCAGTGAAAAAAGCTTCTCAGCGTCGGCAGCCACACACTCATCTCTGTAGCTTCACAAAGACAAGCCGAGAATCCCCTTCGGTCTGATCATATAATCCAACAGCAAGCTCCTACTTATGCTTCTGATATTTACCAAGTGGCTTGAATGTTCATTCGATGCTCGTAAAGAAGATTCAAAGAATATCAAAAGTGTCTGTGTCAACAGAGAGCGGGTAGCACTTGTGCATTCCACTGCCACACTCTT